GCACCGGATTGTGTTTGGTAACAGCGAACTATGTTTTACTTTTTCTGAATAATTTTTTACTTTAATATTAGCTACTTCTAAAGTTTGAGTTTGTTTTACGAACTTCATCGTGAAGTGAGAGGGAGTTGAATGTTTTAGTATTTATATACTCGTCAATCAGAGGAATTGAAACTATGAACAAAACAAATGCGATAAGTATAATATAAATTCTTTATTTAAATTTAGTACAAGCGTATTTACAAATCTTAATCTTACAAATATTAAAAGTAAAAAACATACATTAAAAATAAAAAAAAATATATAAACATGAAAATAACGAAAAAGTAAAAATTCCTTATCGAATTACAAATATAATATACTTTACAGCAGGCAAATATCATTACGAATGTTAGTGAAAGATAAATTAAAAAATTGTTTTGTAATGCCCCCAAGGTAAGGTGTTGACTTTATTTACTAGTATCTGCCTTTTATCATCAGTATTGCTTAAAACCGTTTTATTAAGCTCTTGAGAGTAAAGTACGTGCTTGATTGATTTAATTAAATTCATTTTACATTTTAAATCTTTGACGTTGAATAATGAGTCTTTGTATTGTGATAAAGTAAGATTCTTAGTAACGCACTTAGAAACACCTTTAGCTTTATTGATTCGTGTTTTAATGCTGTTCAGGGAATAAAGTTTTGCTCTAAGACCTACAAATTCTCTAATCACATCACCCCCAAGTTCGTCTTTAAATAAGCCGGGGATTTTTGCATTCACCCTTTCTATGCAGTATGGATTATTTAAATCAAAGTTACTAGTATCAAATTCCGACAAATTATTTTTGATATCTCTGTAAACGTCCTCTGTGAATATCAAGTATAGGAGGCTATCAGTATCTGTGTAACAAAGTTTTGCATTCTGATTATATATCTTTTTAATAAAATCGTAATGAAACTTGTATAGATGCTGTTTTGCGTATTCTAAAACTGAAAACCCAATGTAGATAGGTCTGTCGAGCACAATCTTTTCTGGAGTAAATTGAGCAGCTAGAAAATTTTCTGAGAACACTGAAATATTTTTTAGATTTGGGCGAGAAATAAGTGTTTCAGCATCAAGTCGCTTTTTTGTTAAATTATATTCATCTTTCCAAGTTGTGATCAATTTAACACTTACTTGTTTGCGTCTATTTTCAATAGTTTTACCGAAAATTGCATTATTCATGAGTTTAAAAAAGTCTTTTTCGAAAACGGACACAGCGGATTGCCGCAGATTTGTATTCAAATCTATGTATTTCTGTAAAAAATTTGACTGTTTAAAGCTCAGTATACGGTGAATATTTCTTAAAATTAAACCATTTCTCAACATTTCTTTCAAGTGAATGAAATGAACAACGTAGTTATATTTATCATATAAACTCGCAATCAATTTCGGAGACTTTCCTCCCGGGGGAATAAATTTCTCCGGAGCGAATGGCAAATCACTGTGCAAATTATGTAAGTTCTCAGGATACTCTAGATCCACTTCCAAAATAAACCCAGTGTCTCCATTTTCAGGTACTGTCAAAATATTAAACGTTTCAATTTCATATTTATTTAAAAATTTAAATTCAGAATAAGGCAAACTTTTAGTCATTGCATGTCCGTACAGATTGTTACAATCTAAATATATCAAATAAGATGACGGATTGAAATCATCAAATTCTGGTAAGTATTTATTATTGGCTTTAGCGTGTCGTAATGAACACTGAACCAATCCTCCGCGTATTCCTTTTTCTAACATTTGATACATTTCCAAATCATCTATCAAATCTAGTTCAATGCCTGTCGAAAGCAGCATAGCATCCCAACTCAAGCTCGGTGATGTTACGTAATAGGCTGGATCTAATTTGTAATATTTTAAACTCAAGTTTCTGAAATTTTCAAATA